GCCAGTAGCAGGGACTGAAAATACACTGTTGTGACTTCGTTATTCCTCCAAGCACAGAATGACTGTATACTCAAGCTAGGGGAAGGGAAAAAAAAAAAAAACGGGGGAAAAAAACACAAAAAAACTTTTCCTTACAGCTGTGGTGTTGCAAATAGGTTTATAAGGATAGCGGATTCTCCCTCCATTGTTTTGTCTTGTTGTGGGCATTAAGATACTCCTTCTTAAGTCTCTTCTGGGATTTTTAATCGTCCTTTTAGAAAAAGTGATGTTCTACTTGGTTACTGCTGAATGAACCATAGGGTGTAAGGGTGAAGCAGACGCAGCCACAGGTTTACCAGCAGGCTAAACTGAATGAAAGTGGATCTTGGGTTATATTGGTGATTGTTACCATGAGCTGGATAGCACGACTTGAAACCAAATCCTTTTTCTTTAGTGAAAGCACATCCTTTCCATTCCATCAGTGCTCCTCAAAACTATATGTCCATGCTTATTCTTGCCCTTTCCTTAACATTCATCATATGAGTATTTTTTGTCCTCATATTTACAACTTTAATCAGTTTATCTCCCACTGAATTTATTTATTTATTTATCATGCTTTCCATATTCGCTAGAGGTCTCCTTTTCTGGAGAACTTGAGTCATGTCACTTTTCATTTTCTTAGTTTCAAAAAAGTAGTTTCATGTATGCAGGCCTTTCTACATACATTGCATGTGATCTGTAAGAAGCCGCTGTTGCATGCCCTATTTTATTTTGGCCATTTCTATTCCCTCTTTATGTACATGGATGAGCTGGCATCCTCTAGGTGGCAGAAAATCGCAATAAAACTTAGGAGGACTTTAGCAAATATCTTTTTGGATTTTAGTGCAGTTGATAATAAGGAGGCTGTGCATGAAGGCAGCGTGGGTCTGGCACAAGATTGCTTCCACCTGGGGCTGGCAGACTGGATTGCTGCAGTTGTGAAGATGGGACCACATATTGTCTCTTTCCATATCTTAAAAAAAAGTATATATTTATATAAATGCCTACATATAAAATGCGCATACACACATATATAGGTACAATCTTGTATCCTCTCCTTGATCAGGAGGTTCTCTTTGTTATTTTAATGGTATAGAAAAAAACGTTTATCTTGTTAATACTCTGGTGAGTATACTTGCATAATTGCTTTGCAGATGTGTCTAAACATGCCTGTAGAGTTCCTGTTTGGTATTTAAATACTAACAAATTAGAAATTAAAGCATTTTGAATTTGTATTTTGTAGCTGAGTAGTAAAAGTGATTTAGAGAGAGTAAGCAGCTAAATGGCTAATCATCTCACAGCCTCTGTGGCTACAGATTCTTAGGAACATCTGTTACTCCCTTGACTTCTTGTCTAGAACAAAGAGAAGGTATTTTTTTTTCTTTTGTGCAATAAATAATAAAGCCCAGCATTTAATGGTGATGTAAAGCAGGTTATTAAAAACAGCCTTTAAATCAAGGTCAGTTGCCTCATTATTGGAGGAGATGGATGAATTTTGATCTGATTAATTTCTACTCAAGAAGAGCTCAGTTGTAAAATGTGCAGATGGGCAAACTTACATTTATTTTAAAAAGTATGCACAGTACCTTCCTTAATAGGTATAGCTAGTTTGGGTCAGTTCTGTTGGTGCTTAAACGGGGGTGGAGATTACCCCTGTGTGTTTGCAAGCATACTACAAAAGAAAACTTGGGATAACCTCAGCTGCAGCCTCTTTTTATTAGGTTTTGTTTTGTTATCAGGCAAACACTAGAAATTTTAGCTGCTTGCTTGATAGCTTGGTGATTTCCCATGAGCTGTAATCTCCATGGTGAAGGGTGGAATGTGATTTGTCCAGCAGGCACCAAGTAGGCTTTTCGTTAGCACTGCCACGTGCTCACGGTGTTCAAACCACAGTGTCGCAACATGCTGCGACTCGTAGTTAAAATGCAAAATGGGGAGGAACGGCTAACCCAAGTGTAACGGCTTCTCTGAGACCAGATCACTGCAACACCCAGGTTATTCATTCAAACCCACCAAATAGCTTTGAATGTGGCATTTAAGTCCCAGTTTTCCTGAGCAAACATCTAAATATTTTGCACAGTAATCTGGTGGAATCATGGGCTGTGGAGGTCTATTGCTGCCCTGATTTGGCATCAGAAAAATTATGCAAACTTTGTTTCCAGGCATGTGTATCTGCAATCATGGGCAGTTGAGCAAAAGTTTTTCTTCATGTTTGGTGGTTTCCCCTTAAATAAGGAAGGCAACAGAGGTCTAGAATAATTCCGATACAGCATTTGTTGAAATGGTTATGACTAGAGAAGCTATACTTCTTGTATTCTTTTTCTTACTCATATAAAACTAGGAAAGAAGGGCATTATAGGCTTATGTAGGAGGAAAGGTGGTTGCATTTTGTGCAATAGCCGGTGAGACATCTCTTTCCCATCCACACTTGCAGTTACTGCCTCGAATTATTCTTAATCATCTGACCACACACCGTGGTGGCTGAATGAGTTTGCTGCTGCTGCGAAACCAGCACGGCGCAAGAAAAGGTTGCAGTGAGCAATGTGAGTTTCTCTGTGGTGTCTTTATTGATTTAAATGAAGACACTGATGTCTTCATGACACTTTCATACGCAAGCTGTGCTGCCCCAACTCTTCCACGTATTTTAGAGGGGAGAATTGGAAGTGAGGAAATCTTGGAGAGCAGTGTGCAGGTGTCTGCTCTGGTTGGCGCTTTGGTAATGTTGCCTTCAGTGTTGTCAAACAGAGGTGCAAAACAAATGGCTGCCTGTTTGGATCCGACTACCAAGACTAAAGTCTCATTCCCTGAAGTCATCGTCTGTGTACACAAATGACTGGAATTACTGCACGTTTAGTAGAGGGTTTCCTTAATTGCCTTGTGGCATCATCCGTAATCTTGTTGTCAGATGTCATGTTTCAGCCTGTCCCAGGCAGTTCCTTTCTCTCTTTACTTTCATCGGTTCTCTGCTTTCATTAACTGTGATGATAAAAGGAGTCAAAGTGAGAACAGAAAACCGGACAGGCTACACGAAAATATGCAGTCCTTGCTTAATTTAGTGATGATAAACTTCCTTAAAAAGAGATAAATTTTCTGTTAAAATCCGGAGTGTATTGAGACTGCAGTTTAATGAGGATCAAATCTGCTTGGTTGATAATGCCAAAACTTAGGTTATCTGGCTTTGTTTGTTTGTATGGAGACAGTTTGTGTACTGTCTCCGTATGGGTAACATTTGCTAATGAGGAATCTTCTCATGTTTTAAAGAAGCTGATCCTCTGACGAAGATTGTGCATAAATTGGGTGCCTACCAGCCTAGCTTTGCAGCCTCTCTGCTGTGGAATCCAAGGAGGTTCTCTCCAGGCACCATCTATGTATCCTGAACTAATCCATCCAGGATGCCTGTGAGGGTTTCTAGTAGCAGACACTGAGTAATCTCAATTACCTAGTAAGGCTGGTTGTGTCCTCAGTCAGGATAGAAGACTCCAGATCCCTCTGCAGGCTTTTCAAGTCCAGCTTTTGCATGTGGCAAAACAACACATGAAAGTCAATATATCAGCTTTGAAAATACCCTAAAATTGTCTCTTAAGCTTTGTCAGACCACTGTTCTCATTGATAAGTTAGTAATTTCTTGTCACTAGCAAATCACATGGTGCCTCTCCTTCACACAAATTAGATAGTGAAAAACAGTGATGACCTCCTGCTGTGGAAGTGATCTATCGACTAGAATGAATGACAGAATCAGATGAAAAAATGGCAAGTATCAAGAGAAATCTTTGTTTTCGAAATAGTTCCTTGATGTGAAGATAAAATAGCTGCATCTTTACAATCAAGTGATCCCACTCATTAAGGTTACACTGTTTTGCAAAATTTTTCCATGCTTTTCTCAAAGACATCATTTACAGCCAGCACGTTTGACCTCTTTATTTTCTTCCTGTCTTTTGCGATGACAGTTTTACTATTGTTAATAAAAAGTAACAGGACTTTGGAGTAGCTGATCAGCAGATGGAGGCAGGTGCTGCTCAAGCCTCTACATCTGTGTGACAGTGTGTGGATGTTCTGGGTCAGACTAAATTTAGTGTGGCGTTTTGGACCTAAAATTCCCACCACGCTTACGATTTGAAGGTATCTGAAGGAACGATGATTGATCTTGACCCTTCTGTTCCCATTTAGGAAATGCAGTTATTGAACTGCATTTGGAGTGGAGCTTCTGAAAACTGTCATTTCCATCTCCTCTGAAAAGAATCTAGTTCATTTGGCCAGGACTTAGCTGTAAACTGAAGCAACCCAAGGGAAATGGGAATGGTTCTTTCCAAACTCCTGCAATATTTCTCTGAACAAAAATGATCAGAGACAGCATTAGTGCAGCCTGTGATACTGTAGCTCATCAGTAAATAAGTAATGCTTAATGCGCACAAACCTTTGGGCTTATTAAGTGTAAATGAACAATATAGAATTTTGTAACTTTGTGGCACTTCTGTGAATGAGAAGGTAAAAAAAACAGATTAGAAATTAGAAAGCTAGAATGTTGTACTCATCATTAAGGGCTCTTCCAGAAGCTCAGTCTGCTTTCTCTACCAACTGTTTTCCTGGAAAAAATATTTACTTCTAGAGTGGTTGTTAGTTTGTTTTGCAGATTGTTCATTCTTGCTAGCATGTAGAATTTGAGGAGTAAGTCTTGTTTTCTTTTGGATTTTTATTTGTATTATAAGGGCAAAAGTGTCGTATTGCAAAACAGTGGTGGGAAGTATTTTTTGCTCACGTTTCTTTTTCTTTTTTTTCCTGCCTGCTTAGAATAGAATAGAATTCTATGTGCTAATGTAGAATAAACTGGGGCTTAGCTTTTCAGCAGGGGTGTTGTTTAGGTGTCGACATCAGACTTAACAGTGTCTGTGGAATGTGGGAGTTACCAGAGTATTTTATTTTTAGAATAAATTTTAGGAGTGCTTTATGTTAAATGTAATCTAGGTCTGCCGTTTATATTTTAGGAAGCTGAATATGGTGGGCATGATCAGATTGATCTGTACGATGATGTAATTTCTCCATCTGCAAATAATGGAGATGCTCCGGAAGATCGGGACTACATGGATTCCCTCCCACCTTCAGTTGGCGATGACGTAGGTAAAGGAGCTGCACCAAATGTTGTCTATACATATACTGGAAAGAGAATTGCCTTGTACATTGGAAATCTTACTTGGGTACCTTACTGCTATTATAGCCGGGGATTATAATATTATGGGTGTAATTCTTTGTAAATAAGTATTACCTGAAATACTAAGAGCACAGCAAAGCAGATGATCTTATTTCCTGCAAGTTACTTAGACTTCAAGACAGCTCTACACAAGCTAAAAAATAGAACAAATCTTCAGTAAATACAAACTTCGAAGTTTTCTCTTCTAAAGGGCTATTTATACTACCATCTTTTTAAGGTTTTCAGAGAATTGATTGAAAGGGCAGCAAATTTAAAATTATCAAATATTTTATGCCTGTAGATACTTTAGGCTACCAAACTAATCTGTTCTTGAGTAATACCTTCCTGAAGCTTTTCTTTTGAAAGGGAACTGCAAATTTCTCTTAAGATTTTATTGGAATTACTTTTCATCCATTTTCCAGAGCGTTTTCCAATTCCCTTTTTAGAGCAATTCCCCTTTAGAGCAATTCCATTTCCCTTAGAGCAGTGACTCTTAAAGCATTTTTTAGGTATTTGCCTTGAGGCTTACTTCTGCAGTCTTGGGGGTAACAGGTTTGGGGTAACTTATTGAACTGCAGTTTCCCTAAGGACAATTACATTTGTTTGCATTGAATCATTTTGAAATGAGTTGCAGTTAAGCAAAGGAAGTGCAAGTAGCTGAATTAACTAGAGTTCATATTAACATGATATCCAGTTCCTCTAAGAGCGTGCATGCAGAATTCTCATTCAAGGTTTTGTTTTTCTCTTCTATTGAAATGATTGCTATTGCTAAAGTTGCAAAAGAGTGCTTTGTAGGTTCTTAGGTATTTTTCATTAATTGTAATTTCATAATTACAGTGTCCTAATTTTGGAATCAAATAGGTAAGTGAAGAGTAATTGGCTTAACAGTTATACTACCCTAAAATATGTATGTAAGAATAGAATGAGTAAAATGCACATGAGTTAGCTCAACTCCTTTGTCAGATGTCACAATTGGTGTGGCCAGTGTGCAGCAGTTATATCTTACTGATTATATGTTTTTGTTTTTTTTTCAAATAAAGCTGGCCACAAAAAGTGTGTTTACCTGCTTAAACGCTGCCATTGAGATTTTTTTCTTAGCAGTTAGATTTCAACAATTTGTTGAATTTTTGAAGGAAGCATTGATTTGAGGGAGATCAGAGAAGTAGTTCAGAATCTTGCAAGCCTGCTTTGCACTTTCCATCATGAAATTTAAGGGGATGATGGAGTTACAGACGTAGGAGGAAAACCATCTTTGGATGTGAGTGAAATTGTTAAACATTCCACATTAACTAGTAGGAACTTACTCAAAGTAGGTTTAGTTAAGTGGAGCCATGTCTCCACAGCTGCTGAAGCAGTATTACTAACCATGATAGCTATACCAGTGTTCCTTCTTTTTTTTTCTGTAAATATTACAACTTTCCTGTAAATAATACTTAACTTACTAGAACCTCACTAATCAGAGCTCTTGAAAAAAGCACCTTCTTGGTATGGTATTTAAAACAGGAGTTTTAAAAAATAATAGAATTTGTAGGAGAATAAAAGCATTGGATATGGAAAGACATAACAACTATTGAAATAATCCATCCTAAGTCCTACTACACTTGAAAAATGTACTTTCAGAAAACAAAAGTTACTGAACACAAATGGTATTTGGCATATTGTAGCCTGGATATTGTGTTGAAGGACTGATGCAATATAATGTATAATGAGCACGTATTTTTAAAACAGTGTTTTTGATAAATGTAAAATATAAATAACTAATCTCCAAAAGTCAGGAAATATTGATAACCTCAGAAATATATTCCTGTTGATCACTTTCATAACAAAATTTAAATTAGCGATTTTTAGCATGGAAGACTAGGTTGCTCTTTTCGTGGCCTTTTGGTGCTTAAGATGTATTTTAATATACAACTATGAAAACTTATTTTTTAGTGGACAACAGATGAAGACTTGACAGAAGCAGTTCATTCATTGGGAGTAAATGATATTCTGGAGATCAAGTTTTTCGAAAATCGTGCTAATGGCCAGTCTAAAGGGTAAGAAATTTTAAAGTGTTTCTGTGTGTAAACTGAACATGGCAAGAGTGGAAATGATGGAAGATTTGTCACTTTTTGTAACTGAGTGTATGTGAACTGATTGCCTTTGCTAATATCTCCAGCAATGACTGGGCATATCATTTCATAGTAGTGATTTAAATTTCAAGCATTAATTTTTATGACTATGTGTTTTATTATTTTGTAGTTAAGTTTTATTGTCAATCTTTATTAAGGCTATATTCCTAAGTTTTGCTTAGTGTGGTGGTGGCATTTGTAATCCTTCATAAGGGAAATACTGTTCTCTTTCCATTCCTGCCCCCTTTATTAAGTCTCTCAAATGCTTGATTTTTCCACTAACTTCTGAAAGAAGTGCTTGAGCCTTTTTTTTTTTTTTTCCCCTTGGTTGGCAACCTAATCTTCCTTGCGTGACTGTGTCTCTGTCTCCTTAGCAGTAATTGATTTAGCACAGTGAATAACTAACAATGATTTAGTCATATATGTTTATGTATAGTATATTTATACTATACCACAGAATTGCCTTTGCGTGATTTGTTTTGATATATCTTGGAGCTGCACTTAATTTTTTTTCTTTTTTTTTATATCTTAAAATGAGTTATCTGTATTTGAAACTGAGCTTATGTGAGGCTGGGATATGTGAGGCATTTCCTGTATTTAGTTTTCAAATATTCTTTTACTTTACTGTATGATGTTTTTCTTAAGACATCAAGATATTTGGGGAATGGAAACACTGGCATGAAACTTTTCTTTATTTCTTTCAGGTTTGCCCTTGTGGGTGTGGGATCTGAAGCATCCTCCAAGAAACTGATGGATTTGTTACCTAAAAGAGAATTGCACGGGCAAAATCCTGTTGTAACTCCATGTAATAAACAGTTTTTGAGTCAGTTCGAAATGCAGTCAAGGAAGAGTAAGCCTTTCTCTTGTTTATTGTGGGGAAAATAGGAATCTATTCCAAAAGGATTACTGCAGTTTTACTCATAGTGTCTTATCGTTTGTACATGGCTTAAAATAGCTATAAACATAGTAAGGTGAAGGAAGTGGTAGTTTTGATCAAAGATGATTCTCTTACTAGAAAAGCACTTGTTTGAACAAGAGATAGCCTGCAGTGGAAGCAGATTGCAGATTCATAAACTCTTGTGTTAAAAATGGACATTTAGAGCTCTGTGGAACATTGGTTAGACCTTTCTTCAGAGCAACTTCTAGACCTATAGTGAAATGAGCTTGAATTAGAAGAGTGAAATTGCATGACGTTTTAACCCAGTCCCATCTGGTGTGCTTGTGACTGTGCTGCTTCCCTTGCTGTAATGTTGATGCTATTCTCACCCCTCAGTAGGCAGGTTTAACACTTGAAGCTAAAAGGATTTTTTTTTCCTGGATTATCTTTCCGTCGCGTTCCTGGCTCAGGCAGGCATTAGTTTTGATGGAAGGATGGGAGTATTTACTTGAGCAAAGAAATGTGGATGGCAGCCTCAGCCTATGTCATTTTACTGTTCTGGAATTGCGAAGTTCTTACTGCATTTGAATTAGTCCCATAACAATCTGTGATTTGTTTGTTTTGCCTACCTGATAAGTAGAGACTTTTTTTTTTTGTAAAGCACTTGAGTCGTCTTTGAGAATAATTGCTGTTATTGAAGAGGTCTTCCTGATTATGCTTTAGTTCTGCGCATGCCTTTAGAGCAAGAATAGAAAAGATTTATCCTATTTTGAATTCTGTAGTTAAATTTTTGCTTTTCATTGCAGCCACACAGTCTGGTCAGATGTCCGGGGAAGGAAAAGCTGGTCCACCAGGTGGAAGCTCACGTGCAGCTTTTCCACCTAGTAACAGAGGACGGGGCCGTTTTCCGGGTGCTATACCAGGTGGAGACAGATTCCCTGGACCTGCAGGGCCAGGAGGGCCACCACCACCTTTCCCAGGTAACAGAATTAGCATGCGAGGCTTTGGTTTTAGTTTTGTTTTCTTGCATTAATACAGCTTGCTTATTTGGAGAATTTTTTAAAAAGTAGTAATTTGGTGAATTATGTTGTAAGTATTTATAGCTGGAGTGTAGGATTCTGCAGTATCTTTTTGTTACTGTTCAAAATAGGGAGTTTCACTTCCAATATAAAAAGGTTATTTTGAAGTGCTAAAAGACTTGGGATAGACTAATAAATTTCATAGCAATATAAACATTCTGTATAATGTACCAGTGTACTTTTTGGTTCTAAGCATGAGAAAAAAAAAATTAAGGAGGATTGTTAGGAAACACTTGTGTTTACTGAAGCATAGTTCTGATTTTCTAACTCACTGTGTGGGGGGAGAATGTCTGTGTTGCAGATCAGTTGTCCAGCGGCATAAAGTAACTGCATTCCTTCATTGCTAGTTTGCACTTCATGAGAAATTCAGCTTTGATTGATGCCCACTGGCAGGTCGATTGGGTGGCACTTGAAATGCCTCTAACTTAAGGTTGTGTGTAGTCAGGGACCTACTGTGGGACAAATCCTTGTCAAGCCATGGGCTTGCACTCTGGTTAAGCTCTCATTTCAGATTACGTCTTTCTAATAAACATCAGTCTGAAGTAGATTGCCTATAAACACTGAAAGGGAAATGGTCAGATCTGAAAACTGTGAATGAGTACCTGGTCATTCTGGGTGGGTGATAGAGCACTGGAACAGATTGCCCAAAGAAGCAGGGAGTCTCCTTCCCTGGAGATACTCAACACCTGCCAGGATATTATCCCAAGCAACATTCTGTAGGTGGCCCTGCTTGAGCAGGGGCGTTGGACTAGGTGATCTCTGGAGGCCCTTTCCAACCTCAACCATTCTGTGATTCTGGAGCAGATTGTTTACTAACACTCAAAGGGAGATGGTCAAATTGAAAAGCCACTAATTGAAGTAATCTGAAGGTAGGTCCGGATACCTTGTTTGCCAGACCTTCTTCAATACAGTTTCTTTTTTTCTCTATTTTATATGTATGCATATATATTATTTTATCCATCTGAAACACGAGCTGCAAGTGTTAGTAGGCTGCAGTCTTTTCTAGTTCAAGCTTTTTTTTTTTTTTTTAGTGATGATAGCAGCTGACTGAGTAGTGCTTTGTTTATTTACTTGCTTTCAAGTTAATGGTGTTCTCTCTGGAATACTGATAATGAAGTAACTGTTCAGGGAAAGGTAGTTTGGTAACTATTAATGTGGGACCATATGTGCTTTGTGCAAGTTCCGCATTGTTCAGTGAGATTAAAATCAAAAAGAATTAATCATTTCAATAAGACTTTTACTTCCCTCTTTTTTTTTTCTTTTTCTTTCTTTCTTGTCTTTTATTTTTAGCTGGACAAACTCCCCCGCGTCCACCCCTAGGTCCTCCAGGTCCACCAGGCCCACCCGGTCCTCCACCTCCTGGTCAGGTCCTTCCTCCTCCATTAGCTGGACCTCCTAATCGTGGTGACCGTCCACCACCGCCAGTTCTGTTTCCAGGACAGCCTTTTGGTCAGCCTCCCCTTGGGCCACTTCCTCCTGGCCCCCCTCCACCAGTTCCAGGCTATGGGCCTCCCCCAGGCCCACCTCCACCTCAGCAGGGTCCACCTCCACCTCCAGGCCCATTTCCGCCTCGGCCACCTGGCCCTCTGGGGCCACCCCTGACTCTTGCTCCTCCTCCGCATCTCCCCGGGCCGCCTCCAGGTGCCCCCCCACCTGCACCACATGTGAATCCAGCCTTCTTTCCCCCACCCGCCAACAGTGGCATTCCCACTTCCGACAGCCGCGGCCCGCCTCCGACTGATCCCTACGGCCGGCCTCCACCATATGACAGAGGTGACTATGGGCCCCCTGGCAGGTGAGTGCTTTTGCTGTACCGTGTTTGATAGCCCTGGATGTTGTTCCTTGCAGGAAGCATTTGATTTTCTTTTCTGTTGAAAGCAAGCTTTTCAGGAATAATGGAAAATAAGACTGGAAGGGGTCCCATGAGGCTTCTCATTTTCCCCTTTTCACTTACTTCAGTGAAACATCTCAAAAACGTGTTTGTAGAATTAAGAAAGTCTTGAAGTGCAACACTAGTGTTCTCCTTTTGATCTCTGCTCTGTGTTCATCGTTCACGTTTGATGATGTCAACTCTGTGTGTCCTCTCTGTGGACTTGCTCATCCCTTCATATGCAGTGGCTTGTGGTTGTGCTTCTGTCTCAACTAGAAATTCTTTGCCCTGGCGCTGTGCAAGCTGTATTATTAGGATGCTCTGGAGTCTTCCTTGTCCAATGTGAACATGTGCTGAGTACAGCACGGTGCCAGGAGCTGTGGCTGTCTCCTTTTCATCCTCTAGCAGCTCTGTTGGAATCCTCAGTTAAATCTTTTCGTCTCAAAAAAAGATGTGTGGGTTCACTCCAAGATTTTTATCTTCCTTTTCTTTCAGATTGCTTGCGCTCCTTTGGTTCAGTCTTCCTGTGTTTGTAGCAGTAGCCTTTTCTATGGTTAATTCAATCTGGGACAATTTTGGGGTGTCTGACTTGGTTTGTCAAACTTTTCAAATGTTTTAAATGTCTTTGTGCTCTCAAATGTCTCTGTCTTGCTGCTGTTTTTTAATTTCCACTATATTTGTATTCTTTAAAACATTTGGGGATAAATTGTAAGAAATGTACTTGTGGATACATGTGGATTTTTCAGTTGTGATTTTACTCCTAGTAGGAGACACTTCTTACGTAAAGCTTATTTCTGCAAAGATGCTTTGCTTCCTTGTACATATAATCACAAAGTGTTTTTTTAACAAGCATTTGTACTGTTATGTTCATACAGAAACTGTAGAAACTCAAGCATTTGGCTTATTTGCCAGAAATAAATAAGTTTATTTTGGTAGACAAAATCTAGGTTGTCCACAGTTTATAGAGTGGCTGGGGAGGGAAGGAGTGGGAATAGGACAGTATCACTTTACTTGCTGTCCAGTATTTTCATTAATAATGTTAAAACTATCATCCATAACTATTTAAATTGTCATTAATTATATACCATAGGCGTTTCACTGGAAATAACATGTCCATAAGAGAAAAAATACATATTCCATTCTATGGGAGGCACACGAAAAATAATACTCAAAACTCAGGGAGGTATGAATTTTTAGACATTTCCTCTTATGCTAAACTGGCTATAGGATCTTGTTCCACTTCTTGCACTTAAGAGGATAGCATTGCTTATCATTCTGCATTTTCTTTCTACCAGAAGAACTAACACTGTTTTAGAAATATCGTCAAGCAATGGGCCAATTTAAGTCTCGAATTTTGTCTCTTAACACGTTCCTCCAGATTTTCTGTATGCAGAGGCTGGTTAATAGGACACTGCAATACTTTTTGTACAGGTTAACTTATGTTAGTTCGGAACTATGTATAGACAATTAATAATTAAAGAAAAATAGTGTAATTAGAATACAAGGAGTTGTCTTTATTGCTTTCTCCTTACTATGAGCAGTTTGGGGATAAATTCATAGCACCTTGAACTTGACCAGAAATATTAAAAAAAAAAAAAAAGCTGTAAAATGTTGAAGTGTCTTTCAGTAAATAGAGTGTTTTAAAGATGATAGGCTGAATTGCTTTTCTTAGGTTATAGCATTCCGGTCTCAGGAATCTGGGAAACAGGAATACATAGTCCTCATACCAGTATTGTTATAAAAATGATCTCTAACTTTGTTCAAAATGCACTCCCTGCATATGTGCATTTCCACATCCGTTCAATTAAGATAGTATTTCCTTACATTTTTTCAAGGATTTTATGAAAATAATAAATATTTGTAAAGCACAATATTAAGTGCTACTGAATCTTCAGAGTGAATGGGATGAACAAGAAATAAGCCTGTTTGTATAGCGGATACCTTGACTGTTTTTTGTTTCGTCGTTTTGGTGGGTGTTTTTGTTTTTTATCTTTTAGCCTTCAGGATTTTATATTGTAATATGGTCCTGCTTTCTTTTCTGTTTGTCACTTTGCTTAAAGTTGCAAACTTGGATTGTTAAAACTGCAATGCTATCTTCATAAGGTTTTCTTCTGACCTTACTAAATAGTAGTTTTATTACTTGCAGAGAAATGGATACTGCCAGGACACCTCTAAGTGAAGCAGAATTTGAAGAAATCATGAACAGAAATAGGGCGATCTCAAGCAGTGCCATTTCAAGAGCTGTATCAGATGCCAGTGCTGGTCAGTAAAATTTGGTTAATGTTTCCCATTCTACTGGAAAGAGCTTATAGTTTTCCTATTAAAAAAAAACTTGCAACCTGAAGAACATTTATCCAATTATTAGGATGCGAATTTGGGCACAGACTGTGATTGATTTTTTGCACTCAAATTTTTGATGATACCTTCTGATTATTGAGCTGGATAGCATTCTAATATTTGGTCCCGCAGTAAAGGGTCTGAATGGCTGCTGAAGAGAAGAGAGTCAAACTGGTAGTATTGTTACAGATGATAAAATTTTGTTTTAATTTTCATAATTTTCTAATAATGACTTTGTATCACTTTTTCAGGGGATTATGGAAGTGCTATAGAGACCTTGGTAACTGCGATTTCCTTAATTAAACAGTCCAAAGTATCGGCTGATGATCGTTGTAAAGTACTTATTAGCTCTCTTCAGGATTGCCTTCATGGAATTGAGTCCAAGTCTTATGGTTCTGGATCCAGGTAAAACTTTCCTCTTCCATCTGCAACCCTTTATTAAAAGGGAAGGTGTAGGACAGGGCTGGCTCACAGAGGAGGATGTGGGCCATTTAAGAAGCATAGTGGGACCTCAGTTGCTCAAGAAACATGTGAAGGAAGCAAATGCTGGTTTGCTAAATTAAATGATTCAATTTTCAGTTAGCCTGCTTTTTGAAGCTAATCTGACCAGCCAACTTTCAGTTAGTGTCTGTTTTCTAGGTGGTATTGCAGTGCGTAATTCAGAATAGAATTTTCCGTTATCAGTCAAGTGGTCTGATACATAATTTTGGTTATAATTTGCTATTGAAAATTGAAGTTGAGATATATGGCACCATTTTCATTTTGTTTAAACATAACTTTCTCTGCGTTTGCCATGATAGCAACGCCACTGAGGTGGAGAACTAAGTTGGACATCATGTTTTTGTCCATTATCCTTTATCATGTAATGTAAAAATTGCAAGTAGGTAGATCTGAAATTCATAGACCTCTACCCAGGACAAATCAGAGATGAGTATTTCCTTTAAAACTTAAATAACACCCCTTTCAGAGTTAGGCCGAATGTGGAGCTTGTGGTGTGTTTGGATACTGCAGCAGTAGTATAGCTGGTATTGAATAGTCAAAGCACAAAGACAGCTGTTGCTGGCACAAATTCTCCGTACCCGGATTAGCTACCACATTGCAGTGATCATTTGAGGTGTGGAGAATTCCTCCAGCTGATTTCAGCTGTGTTGTCCTCCATTCTGCCCACTTTCCCTTGAAGATTCGGAAGTGGATGGCTTCTCCTTACTATCTCTAAGCTGCTAGCCACCACCTTGTACACCAGCCGTCTTTCATATTGCATTCCAAAACATTTCCACCCCACAGCGTACAGGTATTTCTCTCATACCCTATTTGATCACAAAATTGACGTGTGGGTGGAATCAACTTGTAGTTTGAGGCAAAATTTAATGAAGTAATTTCTTTTAGAAGACGTGAACGATCCAGGGAAAGGGACCACAGTAGGTCAAGAGAAAAAAGTAGACGCCACAAATCACGTAGCAGAGATCGTCACGATGACTATTACCGGGAAAGAAGCCGTGAGAGGGAGAGGCATCGTGACCGTGACAGAGACCGCGACAGAGAACGCGACAGAGAGAGAGAGTATCGTCACCGTTAGAGAAGGTGAGCGCTTGTTTCATGGTTTTGAACTTATTTTTAGTAGACCATTAACAGTTAAACTCTGCTGTAGATTGGAGATTATTTACACAGTTCATGTCTGTGTTTAAATGGTCCAGCAGTATGTACTGAATCACTTTCTTCTTGCAGCATCTGAAAAAAACTTAGGTAAGTAATAACAGGTAACCGGTTATGGGAAGGAGGGAGGATTTGTGTGATTCCTTTCTTCTGCAGTGTGCATGCCTTCTTTCTAATCTTCTGTGGTGTGGTATTAACTGTTGCAGCCCTTATGAAGGGGGATAAAAACAATTCTTGAAAAAGCAGTAAGGCAAACTCCTAAGTCTGCTCCCTCTCTCTAATCTTAGAAAATTACACCATGTTCATGGTTATGTTTTCACTTGCACCATGGTCGCGATTATATTTTCACTTGTACCACGTTCGTGGTTGTATTTACACTTGTATTTTAAAATAAAAAAATCAATCTGTGCAAGGACCGCAGCATTTAGCACTTATATGTAATGCCTGGATTATTTCAGTGGAGGGAGCATGGGTATGTATTGTTGCAGTCCTTGCACAAGTAGATCTTTTTTTTTTTTTTTTTTTTCCTAAACTTTGTTACAGTGGTTTTTACTTGATTTCAAGGAATGTAGCCAGACTTTGCCTTAATTTATGAGATGTGGCCCGCTCAGTATTTTCTGTCTTTTTCTTAGCTTTTAACCAAATTCAGGTGTTATATTCTATTACACTGATGGTTGGTTGTTCTCCTCTCCACTTACCTACTTTTTCATTTCCTCCACCCATTTGATAGAAAAGCCATTGTCTGAAGGCCAATGAACAAATGTATGGCACAAGGATTGGTTGTTTTCTGGTTGTTCACATTCTAAAATATTCTTTTATTTTGTATGTCTGCAGTCTTGCATGCATTAAATATCTAGATAGCTACAAAATAGCAGTCTGATCAATGCTTTTTTTTCAGTTTGCTACTGAGGGCGTTAAATTATATAGGGATGTTCATTACGTTATATAATGTCCCATTTTGAGGATCAGTAATTTGAACTTTTCATGATTCTCTGTATTTGACAATTGGAATAAAAACCTGCCTCGTTTTTTCATTGAGGTAGTCTTTTCCCTTTTTAGGAAAAAAAAATCTCTCCTAAATCTACATTTAAATCAAAGTTTAGCAGACTTGCCTGTCTGCCTAACTTCATTTCTTCACATCTGGTTTCCGGATTTGCATGTGGCACTTATTCATGGAAACTTATTTGCAGAAGTTAAAGCAAAACTTTCTAGAAATCATACACACTGTATTTCTAAGTAAAAGCAGACTTAGAGTTTTGTATCAATGGAATGCCAGTTTTTCATGTCATGTTCATAGTGCTTTTGTGGCACTGAGTCCTGGAGAGAACAAAATGTGATACTAAACACTCTGGCCTACTCAGTGTTACATGGGATGCTCTTCTGGGATCACACACTACCAGGGCACATGTAAAGCAGTAATGGACCGAGAAAAGGAGAGTCAAAGGCTTAAGTAGGAAGGTGAAACATGGCAGCTAAAACAAAGCTGGCAGTAGTAGTATATATCTCTTAATGTCACTTTTTATGCTAAAAAAGGGCTTGATAAAAATATTTCTGGAGTTTCATAAAGGAAACTGTGGTTCTTAACTGTAAAATGTCAGAACAGAAAAATACAGATTTAACAAGAGTAAATGTAGTTTCTTTTGTGGAATTGGATTGGAGTTTGTGACATTTGCCAGTAGTTATTACCAATAGGAGGTAATCATTGAGCTAAACTATGGATGCATTTGCAGAGGTTTTTTTTTTTTACTTCTGTTGAAAAGGAGCAAGCTATACTATCAATTGTATAGTAGTTTGGATTTTTTAACCCTTGACATGCTTTGTTAATAAAGCTTTAATTTTTCTGTATGTAGACTGTTATGTATGTAGTTGTGGAGTTTCTGTGCTAAGTACAGATTCCTCCCCACTTCACCTCCCTAAAAAGCATATCCAATGTTATTAGGCTGTATTTGGTAAATACCAAAGCACAATTTTAAAATGAATTTAATCCTACTGTGAGACTGTTATTTCAGTCTCAATTCAGGGGGGATTTGCACATGCAACTTCAGCTTTGTGGTATGCTGGAACTTCACTTTTTTCAGAGGAGTTGTATAGCTGAGACTCCCTTGCACAAAGAAGAAAATAGGTTGTAACAACTTGATTAAAAGGGGCATTTAGTATTCTGTATGTAAATGAAAGCATTTGATATTTTTGAAAAGATAAGCTGTAACCATTTTGTTATGTTACTGTCTTAATGAAGGAGGACTTTTTTGTAGCTTTGTTTATATATACATATATATAAAATAGAGTGATCTTCTGGTTTGTATGTTTCATTTCCACCGAGATGTATGTCACCATACATTTTTTGTTTTGTTCTTTGCATTGCTTAATATTCATAAACTGATTTAACAATCTCAGTCACTTAATAAATAACAGCAGTACTGAAAGGAGCTACTCCCCATATCACTGTGTTTTACCAGATAAATTGGATTTGCCTGTGTGCCTGCATCTCTTGAATGGCACCTATACTTCTTATTTCTGTGTGTAACTATAGTCGTAACTGTGAAACTGTATTGGCGTATTTTAAAAAGGTGTCACACATCCAGATCAGAAGGGTTATAAAGGTTCGTTGTGAACATCTTTTGTGTACAGTGAAATTCAATTTGTATTGTATTTGCTTACCTTTATAGAGATGGATTAAATTGGAATACGATTTTAAATGTGTTCTATAAAAATCTCCTCCCCCCCCCCCAAAAAAGAAAATCAGATGTACCACAGCAGGTATTTACACTTCTGTTTGTACACTTTGTTATTTAAAATTACATTGTCACCTGACTGTTGTGTGTTTTCGCTCGAGTAAAGTGATATGCACACTGATAATACATTCTTCAGAGCTAATATAAACCCAGTGTTTCCTTAAAACATTTTCTCTTTGCTAGTGGAAAGACTTACTGATGTTTTTTTGAAGAGCAGACAGATGTGCAGCCTGTAGGAGTCAAAACAGCAAAAAAAAATCTGATAGAATCATATTTAGAAGCATTAATAGTAAAATCAATGTGTACAAACAGAATAGTAACACAAATAACTTTATCAGAATGAGCCTTGACTTTTTTTAGACACCCTTTTTCTATAGTTTAACTGATATTTCATTGATGTATTTTAGCTGATACATTGTCCCAATCTTAATTTGTCTGAATTTCTATAACTGCTGAATGTTAAGCTTTTCATTTTATGTTCTTGTTATTGGGTCAATTGATTATTTTCTATTTAAAATGCATTTGGACTGAGTTGCGAAGAAAAACTACACTAACATTGTAACAGCTGATGTGTCTGTAGGCTTTGTATTCCGTATTTCATGGCTTTCCAATGATTTTTCTGCTCTCAAACCACTGTAAGCAAAATCATGTAAAGTCAGATGTATTTCTGAGTACATCTTCAAAATCTGTTTTCATCTATCCCTGAAATAGTTTTGAGCTTTGAAATGGTTTAAGAACTAACGGAGTGTCATTTTTTGGCATCAGGAAGGGGGAATGGCACTTTGCAATTTTAATAACAGTCATTGTATTTTTGTCTGTGAAAATAGGAACTGGCCTGTGACAGTATTAGCCACCACACAAAGAGGGAGCAAATCGGGAACATACATAAGCCTTTTATGAAACCTTGCAAATTAATACGAAAGTGCCTATTTTGTAATTGTTTTAATAATAAGCTTCTACGTGAATCATGGCAGCATCATTCAAGAATGAGGAGTATATAGCAGCCTGGGACTGCTTGAGGTGGTCTTGTTATTAATGAACATTACTTACCTAGTTTCTCTTTTTTAAAATGTGCTTTCGAAGAAGCATCTCTGTAGGGCAGAGAGAAATGGCCACCTTTACAGAATATTATTTTTCTCTCAGCTGCTGTCAGAAGGGTTGGCCCTTGTTGCCATATCCAGCACTCATCAGGCAAGGAACGCTCCGAGCAGCTGAGTCAGTGCTTGAAACTCAGCGCAGAGGAGCCGAAGGAGAAGCAGAGCCACTGCTCTGTGCTTCCCAAAGCCCCTTCCGTGGCTGCTTTGGTGCTCTATGGAAGCATGTTGCTTGCTGCTGCTTCAAGCTTAGTGACATCCCTCATTTTCTTGAGGGATGATAGGGCGATTTCAGATGCAAATGAACGAGAAGATGCTATTGTTTATTTTCCAATGCATCACTACTTATTTTATTGGTTTTTTCCATGAACATGTTGCTGTAATTTTGTTGTGTTCTGAGATGTTTTAAGGCACATTTGTATTTTTATATTTCCAACATCCTGGGATTTTTTTTTTCCTCATTTGAGCTCCATAAAATTTGTCTTCAAGGCTGTATAACATTTGAAACAAAGAAAAGTTACTAGTCTGTAAATGCAGGATTGATAGTGTTCTTCCCCCCCCCTCCAAAAAAAAGACGCAAATCCAATTAGTTGATTTTTTTTTTCCTTTTGCTCATTGTGGTTTGAGAACTAAGATTTCTTACTTAAAAGGGAATGAGAGCTCTTCATTTTATGTTTTCCTGTTGCAGCCTGATCTACCTTCTTGTGTCTTTCTCATATATTAATGTCAAAGATACTTACCTACCTCACAGCTTTTTAGTTTGTGAACTAAAATCTATTTTTTCTGAACACATCTGTGTTCATAAGTTATTTTTGGTGAATAGCCAAACTGAGTTAGAAGGAGAAGATTTGTTATGGATGAAATTATGGTTTGGTGATATACCTTTTTCATTCTATGCATTTTTGTGGTGTAGGAAGTTGTGCCCTTCTAAATTACACATTATAAGATTGAGCAAAGGTATCAGGTAAGTACAATAGTAATAGAAAGAAGGGAACAAATGGATGGTGCTAGTGTGAAAGAATAGTGGTGTGTAAATGAACCACTATGAAATGAAGATGATAATGTATGCTACCTTACGTGTAGAAAGGCAAATACAGAGTCAAGCTTGAAACGAGTTCCTCCCCACTGTGTTGTAGCTGTACCACCATGTTATTTGGAGGTCTGTGACATTCTGGAACTTAGGTTGGGTTAAAACCATCTTTGGCCACAAAGGTGTGGGGCTTTAATTCTGCGGCGGAGAGAATGGGTAAAGTTTTTTTTATATATAGAATGGGAAGAATTGCCTAAGCTATTCTTAGGAGCAGTTAGGATACAGTGACAAATGTCATTCATCTTGCTCAAATGTGAATGTGTTGGGAGACTGAATTTCAGTTCCTGAAACTCTCAGAAAAATGATTACGCTATCTTATCTAAACTTAAAGCGCATGTAAACATACAGCTTTAAAGGACTGTGGAATTTTCAGACTTTAAAAGCTGTTTAAAACTCCCCGTACCTATTTGGATGATCAGAATTAAAGGAAAGAAGTTAAGAGTTGCTACTGCAAGATGCTTTATATAAAATATATATATATATGGGATTTTTGTTGTAAGATTCTGTCTTTGACTGTGAAAACCAGTACTGAATTGCATCTTGCTTAATTATAAAAATGTTTGCTCACTTTAGTTAACATTCTGGAATTTCATTTATGAAATGTTCTGGCATAAAATACTAAACTTTCAACCACAAAAGAGCTATTTAACAGATAAGTCTGAAGTTTGGATTTGTTTAAAAATGCTGAGAAAATGTTTGCTGTGTGTTGTTAAATTGTACAAATCTAACCTATGCTTGGGACAGACAGCTCAAATTAACTTTAGGCAGAAAGAAAAGAGTGTTGCCAAGAAGCATTAACTAAAACTTTGGTGGTGTTTTTTTTTTTTTTAAATTGTTTCTTAGTTCAATATTCTACTACTTTGTAGAATACTGAAAAGTGCTGAATACAAAGGTATAATCCATACGGTTTTCTTTCCTCCTTTTGGAACTACATTAGTGTTCTAATTTTGCCAAACTACAGCGGCAGAAAACCTTGAACCAAAATTTCTACCACTTTAGGGGATTCTGATGGGTAACATTTTTATAAATTGAAGGTTCGGTGTGATACTGACCGCCTTAAAATCCCTGCGTTGCAAAGCATTGATCCTCCGTACAGCTTTTTAAAGTTCCTGTAGTTCTATAATTACCCTTGCAAATCTAGCAAGTAATTCCCAGGAACTAAAACTTTCTTGCACTAGTATAACAAATCATATACACAGTGCTCTGGATCTGTTAACTTTTGCCATAGAAATGATAAAGATCCATAATTCTTGCCATAGCAATTGTATTATGAGAGCAGCAAATTGTGACATACAGTCTTACAGCTGTCGTACACTTATTTGCTCCACAGAAGAACTGAGAATTTTCCCTGCTTGTCCATGCTGGCTCAGCTCACAGCTCTAAATATGCCCTTTTGAGAGGGCAGCACTTCATCCTTTGCCACTGAAAACATTAGTTTTATAAGAACTCTTTTGAGATTTTGGTCTCTGGAGAAGTATTTTCCCCAGGAGCAGTTACTGGTTCACACTCTCATCACTTGAGAGGAAGTTTGTGAAGGAGAAAATAAATTCCAGTCAGTGCTTCACATTTGGATTAATGTATGTGTGCACTCTACTATGTAAAACCTAAACTTTGTTATATCTATTTTAATGCTATGTTAGTCTTAGTGGTCACTTTGAGGAAAGGAGGAGGAGGAGTGTGTTGTTCATACTGAGAGAGGAAAAAATAATAATAAAAAAAAAAGTAATAAAAAGATTACTTTGTTTCCAAACTGTTTTGACCCACCATAAGAGTAAAAGGATCTTTGACAGCTGTGTACTGGTGTATGGTCATGAAATTGCTCCTCTAAATGTCTGTTTTTCAAATGAACAGTTTAATGTGTTGGCTTTTTATACAATTTGATTTAAATTATTTTGAAATCACTGAATGTGGAAATTGTGACTTACTAATGAAATGAAGCTAACTAATTGTTTTGTAATGCAATTCAACTGAAATCCACTGTATGGAATTATACCATCCCAAGTACTTTGTGACCTCTTACAGAAATTACCTTTGAGTGGCGTGGTTCCTAATTCATAATCATAAACAAATAGATGAGGGTAGGAAGCAGGGTTTGGGGATTTTTCTAGGGAAAGTAGGTGAGAGAACCAGCAAATCTATATCATGTTATCTGGAAACTGGGTTCTTGTGACTAAAATTCGAGTGTGTACTTTCAGATGCAAAGGCCCTGCTGCTTGCCACTAGTCTGAAAATCTTTTGAGTATTGGTATCAGATTCTGTGCACTTGCAAATGTTACTGAGCTGTTAGCCATCAACTTCATTTTATAATCAGTGCATTATTTAAATGTTAAGTAAATCAGTTGCAAGCTGCTGCAAGCAGGCAGGCAAATGTGTAAAGGAGAAATCTGGTTGTGGCCAAATTATCTTACGTGCTTTCTCATTTGCTTCTCCAAATGCATACTTTAGGGAGTGTCCTATATAAATGTTTCCATCAATCACAGAAACAGTAGCTATTTCTTCTTTTATAGCTCAATTCTTCAATTGTTATTTTTACATTCTTTCAACTTTCTTGTACAACAACATTAATTTTAACTATTGTATTATAAGACAATTTCTTGCACAAACAAGTAGCTACTGCTTCCCAGTATTTTGTGTTAGATTACATTACGATGAAGTAGATGCACGACTTGCGTACGTATAGATAAGCCAACGTTTTTCTGTGTATTATGGGGACTAGCAAAATCTACATCACAAATTTTGACACATTACAGCTGAAGGAAGAGGAACGGCGTGCAAGACAAGAAACGTTCTTCACGGAAAGATGCTTGTCCAGCAGTTTGCTTCATGTGATTGAACTGAGCCTGTAAGGATTCATGGATAAAATGAACAGGAATAGATCTGAATAAAGCAAATCTGCATACATGGTAACCAGTAGCTCTTTTACTTTTTTATGTTGCTTAACTGTTTTATTTGAGGGAAACCTGTGTGATTTAAACCTTATAGCTTTTGCAACTTTATTACTGGTTATATACCTTTGGCAATTATAATGTGCAAGCAATTGGAAAAAGTCACGTAAATGCTTGTTTTTATAGTAGTTTGTTCTTGTTAAAATGTTCATATGATAATGTCTGTACACAGCACCACTTTGATTACAATAGATGTAGTGTTGTAATAAACTGTTTAATGGGGCTGATGTGTAAAGCTGTTCAAGTTATTTGATGTTTACACCTCAGGGAAAGTCTTGTGTTCAGCAATATTTAAAGATAATGTTACAATGAAAACATTGATGCTGTCTTTAAAAACATCGCAATAGTTCTTGCATATGCCTCAATCTAATCTCGCATTCAGTGAGTTAAACATACTAATGTTGCTCTCAGACATTCAATTTTGATACGAAAACAGGTGGTTACGCAAAGTCTTTAATGCTATTTTGCTTTCTAGCAGTTTTTACCTAGATGGCTTGTGAATTTGCTGAATGACATATAAAACTGTAAAAACTGCAGTGTAAATTCTCTGTTTAGAGGAGAGGTGCACCTGGGTTCATGACTGAAAACTGAAAGTTGCATCTCTCGTATCACTTTGACACTACAGTTTATATTACTTAAACTGTTCATATTGAGGGATGGGAAGATTAGCTTTAAAATAATCTGCGGTTGTTTACAGTTTTATAGTAATAGCGCTTGTCTGGAGGGGAGTTGGGTTTTTTTACTCCTTCTCTCCCCTTTTTCCTCCCTTCCCAAAGGCCCTAGACAGTCTGTACATAGTTGTATATTAGAAATGTGACAGAAGAAACCAGTTCCCATTTTTTTTTCCTGCCCAGAGTAATGGGCTCATTATTAGCTTAACACTTTGGGGTTTATTCACACAAACATTGAAGAAAGAAGGTACACACATGTGTCTTTGTTCAGTGATGGGCAATATTTAAATGTCTTAGCAAAAAGTGGCACTAACTAAATCTGTCAAATGAGGTTTTGTAAATTTATCTAAAAACAATCTGTTGGAGATTAGAGTGAAAGTTAAATTCAGATTACAATAATTCATTTTAAATTCTATTACGTATGAAATACATGAGGAGAATGTTTGCATCATTTGCCAAAACTTAAGTTTTTGGTAGCCTTGAGCAAAGGCTCCCTGCTGAAGTGTGCTGTAAATCAGTGTGCAACAGATGTATTCTCTGGGCTTTCAGTTACTCACACATCTTGCTTCATGTTTTGAGCTAAGTTTCAAGACCTCACATGGCTTGAGAGGCAACTCTAGGGCAGCTCCTGATATATATGTATTTTTTTCTTACTGATTCAAAGTTTTTTACAGTTGATCTAAAATAAGTCACCCCATTCAGAAAAGCACTTAAATCCACTTGATTTTCTAAAGGCATTTTAGAGCATATGCTTAAATGCCATAGAGTTTAAGGAAACTTTAACATATGCTTTAAATATTGTATAATGATTTTATGCTTTACTGAGTTGGGACCAGTAGTAGCCTGTGCAACTACCAAAGTTCTTCCTAAGTTTGAAATGCTCTAATATTTTTGTCACCTGTCATTCAGCCCGATGTCCTGCAGACATCGCTGATTCTGTTGGACTTGGCTACAGCCTTCAGACCTGCCCCCTCCTCCTCCCAACTCGCTATTTTTTTTCCTTGTGTACCTCGAGTTCTCATGCATGGGATCACTGGTGTTTACTGAACTATTTGCTACTGAGAAAGTATTTGAAATGTTTGTTTAATCCTGTTTAAAAAATGAAAACTGCTTTTTAAAATTTTGTAAACTGAAAGTTGTATCAAAGTCATGACTAATTTCCTGCTTTTTGTGAATAGGTGTTGGTTACAAACAGTACTGTTGTAATTTTTTTTTTTTTAACTTAAAAACATTGTTCACTGCTGGGCGTAGTAAGTTTTACAGAAGAAAAAGCCTGCTGTTACATGGGGAATAGCTAATACTGAAGGGCCATCAGGTAAGTATTAATCCACTTCATAGACAAACCTTAAAATAAAATTTCAAAAAGTAAATTAAAAAGCATTTTGCACAGGAACTGATATTTTACTAAACATTGAAAAAGATTTAAGGAGAGATGTTCTTTTACACAAGGAGTAATTTCTCATTCGTGTACAGATTTCCATTGCTGGCAATGGAAGTAGCAGGGAGACCACAACATAAATTAAACTGAGAGCTGGTTGTGGCTTGAGAGGTGAGGTCCTAGGATGAAGACCCTTATTTCCTTCTATTCTCTGAAGATTTATTTTGAACCGATGGCTGTATTGTCTGGTCATTTCAATAATTTTCTTTGTTGTGAGCTTCGTTAGTTTTTTTTAAGAAACAAAAGAGAAGTACAGAAAAAAAAATCCAAAGAGCCTTGTAGACACCAAAAAGGAATATGTCTAATACCCATGGTGTGTAACTGGATCTGTAACAGATTTTTTTTTTCTACCAGGTTTTGGTTTGTTAAGCGTTACTGACAATTTCCTGTGTCCTCTCAGGAAAGAGCAGTTTGTTATTTACTGACTGGTGATGGTGCTTTGGTGGCTCCTGCTGTGTTCTTTTATATCCAACTGTAATTCACCTCCTTCTGCTGGTGAAAGTACAAAACAGTCTATGAGGAAAAACTTGATTTTTAAATACTGATTTTTTTTTTCCCCTTTACAAGTCATGTTGAAAGTAGTCTTATAAGGCTGTGTCCTTTAGCTTTTCTGGAAAGACAACACCAAGAAGTGGTGATCTTGGGGAAGGGGGATGTGCTCGAACAACAAAAGTTGCTTTACAAGGGTTTTTTTTTTTTTTTCTTTTAAGACAAATAGGTTGCTTAAAAAAATCCTTCTTGGAATAAATATTTTGACAGGTCAAAAACAATTCTTCAAAAGAGGAACAAAAAATTTGGAAGATGCACATTCCCCCTCCCCCCTGTTCCTTTCTGCTTTCTGTGCCAATAGTTTAGGTTCTGATTGCATTATGGGAAAATATGCCTGTCAGAATTTATTGAATTACAATGTGACTTAAGTGTTTGGATAGCTGTTGGATTTTATGTGTTAACAAGATACACTTTATTGATTTAAGGTGTTAGGTTTTGTTTTTGATTTGGGTATTTTTTTTAGGAGTGCATTTTTTTTCCTTTTTTTCTTTTTTCCTTTAGACTGGTGAGGCTTAGTTTTTCTATGTGTTTTTTATGATTGTTTAGTTGCATACCCAAATCCTTGTAAATGTTTTCCCTAGTTGTATGTGGCTAATTGCAAATTTAAATGTTGTATATACTTGTCATATGTATTCCTAGAAAAAAATACATGTGATTCTTTATAGAAGTACTTAATTCCTGATTTCATTTCTTACCTATTTGCTTTCTGTACAGATTGAACAGATTTTTCCCTAATTTTATTTATAGATTTTTTTAATGAGTTACCATTGGTCCTTGTGTAGACTGAAACACAGCCTTAAATTCCCTATCTTAATGCTTGAGATCCTTTTTGTTATGTAGATTCAAGAATGACATGCATGTTTAAGACTGATATACTTCAGAAATCAAAGACATTAAATTTTTCTGCGTTTAAATATTAACCCCCCATATTTCATAGCATGAACGTGCAGATCAGGGTGCACGTTCTTTCCAAAACAAGTGTTTTACCTATGAGAAGCAGCAACATGGATTTAAAAAAAAAAAAAAAAAAAAAGATAAAAGGATATAGGTTGCTTTGATGATGTAGATCTTAAGCAAAATGGTCTCAGCATGCTGAATAGTCGTGACATTTCTGCAGAAATTCTGTCTTGCAGCTTTACACTATATTGCCTTGCAGCTAGGGTTGCAGGTGGGCTTGGGCTTGGGGTGTGTGACTCTGTTCTGCTTGCCTTTTGTTTCTAATTAAGTTGACCTGACATGCTATGTATTTTCAGATTGATTTTAGCTTTAGGGGATGAATTATTAAAGAGTATTTTGGAGCACAAAACTTCTTTCATTTGATGTTCTCATGGATTTTTTTCCATGTTGGACAAAATATGGTAACACATCCCCTTCTCTCTGGGTATTGTGCACTTGTTAGTATTTTAACCCTCTCTCATGCCCCAGTTATTCCAGTGGATGCTAGGTTTCGGTGTGACCTATGCCTCTGCTTAAATGTTTAAAGCCTCTTTTGAAATACACTAATTCTGTTGGACTATCTTGAAAATAGTAAACTGTATGCATTTGATCCCAATGAGACAGAGCATTGCAGTTTTTTTTTTTTTTAATCCCATCCAGTCATGCCATGTAATAAATGATTTTACATGTTTCAGCACTAACATTTTTGAATATATTGAATTAATATACCTTGGTGGCCTGACCCTCTTGTATACGGTATTTTGTAAGAAAAAATATTTTAAACTGTACATATTGTTGTTGCATTATGAAACAGACATTTGTGTGATCTTCAAAAATAAGAAACTGAGGAATGTGCTTTTATAAATACAAGTGATTGCAAATTCACTTTCCTTACTAGTGCAGATGTCCTTTTTAATAAATAAAAAAAAGCAATCAAACAAAAACAAACAAAAATAAGTGTTTTAAAAGTAAAATACATTCCTATTTCTTCCTATTTCGTAAACCTGAACATTTTTATGAAGATGACTAGCACTGCTGACTTTTTAAGCATAAAGACTGTGGTATCTTCCTGTACCATTCCATTCCCTGGTTCCCATTTTGTGCAAAGATATTATGAGTAAGCTGTTCAAGAAATTGTTTGAAATGGGCTGTGGGGCTGGTCTTAGTTGGAGTGCAGAATTGCAATGCAGAATATAAGGAACTGGCTGTTTGTCAGAATGTCTGACTCCAAAGCAGCTTTCTGATACCAGGAGGCCAAAGAGCCTGTTCAATACTTGAGTTTCTGGAGACCCGTATTTTCCAACAAGGTAAGGTGATACCCTGGCAAATGTGCATTTTAATGTATTTTTGGTGGAGGTGCTTAGTCTATAAGTTTTGGGGATCGTTCGTGTTTTTTTTTTCTTTTTTTTTCCTCCTCTTAATTTGTACTTGAAATACTGAAATAACTTTTAGTTTTCATAATTTTCTTTTTTTCAGCCTTTAGGAGACTGTTAAGCAATTTGCTGTCCAACTTTTTTGTTGGTCTTAAACTGCAATAGTAGTTTACCTTGTACTGAAGAAATAAAACCCATTTTTATAAATAAATAATTTTGTCTGTCTTCATTTCAGCTTGTGTGCTAGGCTTGCAGT